ACTCAGGCGGCTTCGTCGCATAGGAGAGGTGGAGGCTGCAAAACGGGACGGCCACAAGCGCAGCTGATTTCTTCAAAGATAGCTTCACGACATGATCGACAAGGGCCTTTATGGCAAAGTTCTGCGCAAGCATGGTTACCACATTTGAGAGGGCGTCCGCAGACTTTGAGACAGATGTGCTCGGCCTCAATGTTCTCTTCCACTGGCGGAGCATTCAGGGCACGGTGCTTGCGTTTCGAAGCTTGTCGTTCACTTGCTTTCTTTTCGCCAGAACAACATCTTTCACCACATTCATGTCTCCCGCAGTTGAGTGTTGCTCGACATACTCTGGGACACAGCGGCTTTTCATCCGTTCCTTGATGGCACATAGTGTTTGCTGTTGTCCTGCCGCAACGACATGCGATTGTTACTGACTGAAAGCATGGTCGGCACTCGCCATCATGACAAATGCCTTGGCATGTGTGTCCGCACTTCAATGGCAACTCGCATTTCTCTTGACAATGAGGAATCTTCTGTGTACAATCGGTTCGCGGTGTTTCGAGAAGTGTAGAAATTGGTGTTTTGCCGCAAGGACAAGTCGTGACAACATCGGGCGAAAATGGACAATGTGCAGGCGAAATGTCTTGAGGATGGCATCTGCTCTCGCAGTAGTGATCTGGTTTACCACAATCATAAGGTCTGCGACATTCAGAGCCACAATCGAAAGATCCAATCCAGGCCCTCGTGGTCGAGCCCTCACTATCAAGCGCGCTGGCTGGTGCTTGACTTTCACACTCTTCGTCGCGTTCCCAGCAAGGTAACGTTTTTTCGACTTTACCACAATAGCATGTAGCTTCAATTGGAACTTCACAGCTGCCACAGAGGCCCTCATGACAGCTTCTCTGACAATTGTGCTCTCCGCATGGCAGTATGTCATCGCAGATTTGCCCACAACTCCATCCACTCTCGTACTTCGTATCTAAACATCTCCTTGAGACAGTCTCCTTGCCACAAAAGCAAGGAAGGGAAGGTCCCATATGAGCGCATGGCGGGCAAGGTCCAGCATGGCAGATAAGGTCGCATGGGTGAGGACAGTGTCCGCTCCGTTTCTTCGAACAAGTCTGGCCACAAGAATGTGGCGGTAATCCAGCTTCTGACCGTGGTTCAACCTCCTTCTCACACCAACAAGTGTACGATATTGGGATGTCGTCTTTAGGCAAATTACAACCAGGACATCTCCACTGCCTCGGTGGAGGCAATTCTCCATTCTCAACCGCTCGTTGTTGATGCGTAGATACCTCGTTCTTCGACCACTTTTTAACGCACGATAAATGTAGAACCGACCAACAAGTCTTACATGTCCATATCTTGGAATTTGGTAAAACTTCGTTGGTGCAAATCACGCACTCGTATTGGCCGTTTGTAATATCCTCATGTGTTCGAGTACCAAGATCTGGGGCTTGCGATTTTGACATCCGACGTGCGCGCGGAGCTCGAGACGGTCCAGCTCGGCTGGCAACAGATTGTCCGGGCACAAACAATGGGGCATCTCCAGCCAGAGAACCAGCGTCGGACGTAGGGCGGGTATGAGAGTTGGAGGTCAGTTGCCCCCCAAATACTCTTCCATTAGCCATAGGTTGTATACGAGGACCCCCTCTTCGACCACCTCGTCCAAACCCACCCCTTCTACCATGACCTCTTCGATTGTTTCCATTCGGATTTCGTGGATTCGACGGGATCGACGGATTTCGTGGATTCGACGGGATCGAAGGATCCGAGCTGGGTAGCGGTGCCACAGAAGCAGGTCTCAGAGCTAAAGGACCATAGGGTACTTGTACCGTTGTGTTTGGAGTACCGTTTGCATTTGGATCCGCTGGTGCAGGTCCAGCATTCCGATGGCCACCTCTTCTTGGGCGACGAGGCCGTGGTCGAGGAGGATGATTGGAATTAGGAGCTGGGGATGCCTCTGCAGTAGCCATTATGTGAGAATACAAGAAGCTGGAGATATTCTCTGAAATCTTTGATGCGTGATGTGGTAAAACCGTTTGTTGATCAGTGGCGGGGTCGTTATTTTTTGTTTACTGCAATCGCAATGCAAACAGATTTGCGGGGACTTGCAGAATGTGAATTTGTTCGTAAAATAGCAAGTGACTGCGCCTTAAGAATACGGCGACTTCAGACAAGAAAGGAATGAAAGGAAAAAAAACTCAAATGATAGGATATTTGGTAAAAACAACTTTCTATTTGTAAGAAGCAGAAGGGTGCTCTCAGAGCGAACAAGGCTGACTTTATGTGGCAATCAATGAGGTCTTCAATCGATACTAAACTTATCCACTAGTGTCTTTATTGGCCCGTGCTGATAAATTTGTGAGCTCCAAGACTCACTCGCACATTGTTGACTCATACTCGCTCATCACCTCGGACATGGCAATATGTGTATTGCATGAGATGACTCCGAAACATCGAATGTGGAATCAAAATGAGCTATGAATGGAGCAAGGGTATTACTTGCTCACCGTCGCAATCTCCAATACGAGTAAGGTTATATCAAATCTTGAATGGAAGTTTTTAGACTTCGGTAGCCTTGTGGTACGAGGCTGGGTGAAACCTTATATCAACCTACATTTTGTTTTCGGTCATAATACTCGTTCTTGTTCTAGTGTTTCCTTTCCTTTCGCTATAATAAGGGATTGCGGTACCAAAACATGCTACTGAGTATGTACTTATCCTCCAGAAGGACTTGGAGTAGGAAGTTCCCCACAAAGGAGAGTGCACAGCTACAAACATAGATGCCCAAACTCCAGTATGGCTTCGTTGCGTAAAGGAATAGTAACTAGCGGTTATCTAATATGAACATAAACATCATGTTCCTTTCCTTTCTGATATACATATTCTGTGATTCTGTGTCATCTGGTGTGATATATAAATAATAAGCCACCCCTTTCTATTTACTACCGAGTTTTTCCTCTACTTCTTCTTTACCATGTCAATCAAATATCTTTCACATCCAAGATACAAATCTTCTACACTCTGCCAAAAGATGTCGCACTCTACTACCGACACAGCCTGCATCCTACTACCTCCAAGCCTCCCTTCTTCGCGTCCTCCGAACCCGTTACGACGTTCTCGCTCTTTTCAGTTCTACATACCCTAGAACTCTATCTCCACATATCCACTCACTGTCTTCCATGCCCGAAGTATTATCGAA